TATCTTGGTGAATCTGGGTAGGAGGAGTGGTTGTGGTATTATTGTTGGCCTATGTATCCTCGGTGAAAGTCCAGAAACTCGCGCGGTTAAGTGCCGAACCTTTCGGTTAGTACTGGTAAAAATGACAATTGTTATGCTTGTATAGCCTACTTGTAGATACGTACCTAGAGATTCCCAGTATTGTATCCACTACTCTGTTTTCAGTTGTAAAGGAAATGTTTTCATGAATTGTGATATAAAGCTGGCATTGCATGGTTTTGAAAAAAGATATAAAATGTTTTGGAACGAGCATTACATATGTATCCACCTTATAACTTTGTTAAGATTCGTACACAGTGTTAGAGTACCTTTACTGGGTTTTGGCTCACCCTATGTGGAAAACCATTTGCAGGTGTTAATGATATGCCTCCACCAAGGTCGTATCTTAGGAAGACTTGGAGCAGAGACCTTCATGTCTTGTTTTTGTTGTATTTATTTTGTACAAGCCTAAGGCTTTATTTGTATTGACTTTAAACTCATTTTTGGTGTAACCAAGCATCATCTTGGAAAGTTGTAGCCATTAGGGCATTTATAAATCTGTTTGACTTTTATTTCATGCCAGTAACTTGTGGCACATGCTATAGATCTAGGGTTAGAGCTTATGAATGTATAACTGCATGTGTTACCTTTCGTACAATGGGATCATATGAATAAAAGGATATTATATTCAGAATTGTGTTGTTATTTAATTAAGGCCTTGTTTTGGATAATTTACAAAAGCTAAAAAGTCAAAAAATTTCCAAAAAAGTCAAAAAGTCCATACTATTCAAGGGTGGCTTGTGGGGGAAGCTTAGAGGGCAAAATTATTATTTTGCCCTTTGAAGTCAACTACCCAAAAGTAAAAAAGTCAAAAGGGTAGAATGGTCATTTTGATCTTACTACAATATTTTATTATACATCTTTTCATAAAAAGTCAAAAAGTTATCCCAAACATAAATTTTTTTTTCCTCTACTTTTTTAGTCAAAAAATCAAAAAGTACTTTTATATAGTGCATCCCAAACAACCACTAATATTGTGGAATGAATTATGGTTAATATTTTCAGGACGTTAAATATATATTTGACATACAATAATAAATTTAAGAAAAATTAAGATATAATTTATTACTAATAACATGAAAATATTATACTAATAAAAAATAGGATAAATTACACTGATACCACTTAGATTTCTCTAAATAACATGATCAACCCATTTATTTCCTAAAAAACCATTTTCTACCTTTCACAAAATTTTGATAACACTTTAGTCCTTTTATTATTCAATTGTTTGTTGATTGAATGAAAAATTATGATAACAACAAAATTTATACATAAACTACCAACTTCACCCTACAAATTTGTTTCCATGCCCTCTCCTTCTTCTTCTCTCAATCATAGCCCCTTTTTGGGTCATATTATTCTCTTTCACAAACATCTCTCACAATCTCACCAACAAGCACCAACTAGGGTCTTCTCATTTTGATTTTTAACAAATAATTTTTTAACTTTTGGCAAATAAAACAAGACCCTATTCAATTAAGGAAAAATTACTCATAAATCCCATGAGGGGAAATGTTGCTTTATATAGTCCTCAGTGTTTTTTTGAAAACCGTTTAGTCCTTTTTTATTTTTGGTATGGTATTTTTGTTTATATGTATTGTATATGTAATTGACTGATTTGCCCATATTTGTGATTTCTTTTGATTTTTTTTGTTGCTATTGGTTTGGTAAGGTATGATATAACATTCTTTTTTTGGAGGAGGGGTTGTGTGGACTGTGGGACGAGAGGGGGAGAGGTTGGGGTGTTTCTTAGTTGGTGTTCTTTGTATGTTGAATACGTTTTTGTGGGTGGGGGGGTTTGGGTGTTGTTGTTTAAATCTTCTGCTTCGAAAACGGTGGGTGTGCTTTGCTTTTTTTCAATTCAGGCAGTTGATTTGATTTTTCTATTAGTGGGTGTAATGTGTTTTCTAGGTTGGTTATGATGTGTCCCCTGTAAGTGTGGTGGGTGATGTGTTTTTGGGTTGATTATTTGGGTTTGTTGTTATTGTTAGTATTCGAATATATTGATGGGGGATTATCAATGGTGGCTGGGTTTGTAATGTGCTGTTGGGGGTTGTCAATGGCGGCTGGGTTTCGTAATGTTCGAATACGTTGTTGGGGGTTGTCAATGGTGGATGGGTTTATACTGTTCGGGGTTGTCAATGGTGGTTGTGTTTGCTTTCCCAATGTTCTAATGTTATGTGCTGAATTAACATTAATAGTGTAAATTAAAAAACACAAACAGGCTATGGAGTTTGGTTTGTTCTGTTGTGTAATTAATTTTTCTAGATTAGCGTAAACATTGTCCATGATCGAACATTGGTTATGGTAGAACGTTATCTTCATGTGGCTGTGTAATTGTATAACATATTATTTTTTATACAACATTGGTCATGGTAGAACATTGTTTTCATGCTTGAAAAAACAGATGGTCCTTCTGATTTACTATCAACTCCTAACAGTACGACTATATCATCATTATCAGGTGGAAGATTTACATTTCCTTTGATGTGGGTGTTTGAACCATCAGATTCAATTTGAAGATGTTTATTATGAATTGAATTTATTCCCAATAATGTTAGCTTGAACACCTATATCAAGTGGTTTTGTTCTCTGATCTGTTACCTGTAAATATGTGTTCGATTTTTTGGCCAACTGTTAATATGTTTTTTTTGCCATGCATAGAGCTCGCGGTATTATTGTTGTGTACGTTCGCCCAGACAAACGCAATGTTGCGTATCTTCCAAACAGTCACCTATGCTCGGTTGGTTGACAGTGTTTGTCACAAATTTGATATTTATGACCAAGGATTGGTTTATTTCTTGTTCATCATTCCTGGGTACAACAAGTTTAAGGTTGATTGCGGCGATGATGTGCAAAACATGTTGTCACTTACAAAGTCATTTGGTCTTGATCATATAGAACGGCTATTACATCAACGATGTTGTATGAGATGGAGTGTTGGGCAACCAAGAAACAACATGTAGATAAGATGGGTGTTGCTGAAATGATGATACTAAGGTGGATGTGTGGCAAAACGAGACAAAACAGAATTAGGAATGAGTGTATTCGGGAATGGGTAGGAGCAACACTGATAGAAGATAAGTTGAGAGAGAATTAATTGAGATGGTTTGGTCATATTCAAAGGAAACCAATAGAGGCAATAATGAAGAGATGCGGTGCAGTGAATGGAAGTGTTAGGGGACCAGGTAGGCCTAGATTAATGTTGGCTAGCATTGTAAATAGAGATATGAATCTATTTAATTTAACTAACGAAATGGCCTTTGATAGAGCCGTGTAGAAAATAATGATTCATGTAACCGACCCCATTTGATGAGAGTTAAGGCTTGGTTTGGTTTGGTTTGGTTTAGGATTTTTTTACTAATTTATAATACTTATTGTCTTATATTTTATTTTTGGGTAAATTACACTGACACCCCTTGAGGTTTTTATTTAATACAGATCTTTCCTCACATTTGAAAAATTATATTCCCCCCACCCTAATTTCATTAAAATTGTCCCTCTGAATTGCTAATGTCATGCCCTAAAATTTTCTAAATGACTATCTTGTTATTTTTCCTATCATTTATTCTTCCTATCATCATGACTACATTCTAGAACTTTCCATCATTAATTTTTACATGAACATATTCTTATTAAGTGATGATATACAAACATAAGTTTTATATAGAATTTTCAAACACAATAATATAGCTTAATGGTGACCTTTAACTTTAAAACAAAACACACATAAATATAATTTATATTTACAACAATATCACTATCATAAAATTTTTATAATATATTATGTATAAATTTTTATATATGAATATAATTTTTCATTTTTATTTCCACCATTATATCTAGACTAGATCAATTTAATCTAAATATATTTTAAAAAGTATAAAATTTGTACAATTTTTTTAAAAAATAATCCATTGAATATAACAAAATAAGACAATGTATTGCATTTTTGTATTTTTTTATATTTTTTTGAATTTGTTAAATTTAAAAAAATTAAAAAATATTATACTTCTTAACTATGTCTAGATTAAGTGTATCTAAAAAAATAAAAAAATTGCTTAAATTATTAAAAAAATTCAATAAGAATAAAAGAAACATGACAAATAAAAATTCAATTTTTTGTGTGAGGTAAATCAAAGAAGATGATTTTTATTTCTATGAATAAAATATTTGTATTATTTTATATGTATAACGGTTAAGGAGCAAATATGTCATTTGAATTTGACATGAGAGTAAGTGTAATTTTCAAATCTGATAGGGAAATTAATATTAAATAGAAATCTCAAAGGATATCAATATAATTTATTCTTTTTTTTTTTTGTAATTATTTCAGCAATTATTTAAATTAAATATTTTAAAAATTCAAATATTAAATCGACAGTTTAGAAACTAACTAAATTTTGATTTCTATACTTTAGGCATCATTTGAGAATATGCTATTTTAGTAATTTTTTGATTTTTGGACTAAAATATGAGGTAAAAAAATTAATATGTTTGAAATGACTTTTAATTTTTTACGAAAATATGTATAAAAAATAAAGAGAAAAAAAAATCTTAACTTTTTAATATAAGTTATACATTTTTTAATTTTTATAATAATTTTTTGACTTTTAAACTAAAAATATTGTAGGCTAAACAAGACTTAAATAGACAACTCAACAATAGTTTGAGATATAAAATATAATACTACCCAAAAGAAAAGAAAAGAAATAGATGACGTGGCAATATGGTAATGGTAGTTACTACCTCACACGGATCTCAATCCTTGTCCTCATATCTATATTGAATCTGGTCCGTTCATAATCCACCTGATAAACGGCATCTAATCAACGTAATATCCAAAATAAAATTTCAAAAGATTTCCCAAAATTTCAAACCTCGCGCGCCTTCCCTACCTACATATAAGTGTTCAGGTCACTCATCTCATCACTCATCAGCACACTCTCTCTCTAGAACCCAGCAGCATCATCCCTTTCTCTCTCTACATCTACACACTTTCATCTCTTTCTTTCTCTCTTTGAACTTTGCTATTATCAATGGCTCGTACCAAGCAAACAGCACGTAAGTCCACCGGAGGCAAGGCTCCGAGGAAGCAGCTCGCCACCAAGGCCGCCAGGAAGTCAGCGCCGGCCACCGGCGGAGTGAAGAAGCCCCACCGCTTCCGTCCCGGCACAGTGGCGCTTCGCGAGATTCGAAAGTACCAGAAGAGCACAGAGCTCTTGATCCGGAAGCTTCCATTCCAGAGGCTCGTGCGTGAGATCGCGCAGGACTTCAAGACCGATCTGAGGTTCCAGAGCAGCGCCGTCGCGGCGCTCCAGGAGGCGGCCGAGGCGTATCTTGTTGGGCTGTTTGAGGATACCAATCTTTGTGCGATTCATGCTAAGAGGGTTACTATTATGCCTAAGGATATTCAGCTTGCAAGGAGGATTCGAGGCGAGAGGGCTTGATTGAAGCTGGTTTGTTGGGGTGTGTGTTTCTGTTTTGTGGTTTCTAGTTTTGTTTGGTTCGATTGGTTAGGGTTTGGACTAGTGATGTAAATCTATGGTGGTTTAATGCTTGATAGGTATCTATGAAGGGTTTTGTTTTGTAATATGGAATTGTGACTTTTCAAATGTTTGATCTTCATTCAATGGAAATTTGCTATTCCTGAAAGTCTATTGGCAACTATGCTCTCATCTTTGTCTCTCTCACACTTTCCATTTAGATTCTTATTTTCTTTGGGGCCTGTAATGCACGGTTTGATTTGATGATAGAGGTTTGTTGTTTTCTTATGTTACTTTGGTTATGTGTGAATAAGTGCTGAACCTACATTCACTAAATTTTGGTAATTTTATACCATACCATAAATCAATAATGGTGGTTTGATTCACTGGTAATGGAAAGGGTTCTGGATTAAAAGTGCATATTAACCTATTTACTAGCTTGTAATTTCTTTTTTGCTCAAGAACTATTGGGACAAGACTAGTGGATTTTTAAAGTTGTTTGGACCCCTTTTTGACTGTTTGGACATTTCGACATTGATGATGCTAAAATGGGATAGTAATTAAGGTTAAGTTTGATAATTTTTAAAAAATTTAAAAAGTTATTATCTTATTTAAGTTATATTATTTTATTTAATATATTACTTCAAATCCAATTCAAACTCAATTTATATTTTATAAAAAATTAAAAAGTATATTTATTTAGTCTTCCCAAACTTAACTTAAAAATCATGGTATGTGCTCTGATTAGTTTTCTAGGAGAATGACTTCAAGCCAAATCTTGATTGTATTATTGTGGGTTAAAGATTTGGGCGTTGATATTGTTTAAATTTTATGCATATTTTTGAAAATGATAAATGAAAGCTCAATCACCATTGGTTAGCAGATTTGGCAAAATAAGTTGGTTGATTATTATTGAACTAAAATTGTTCAAGCTCAGAAACTATTCACAGATTTTTATTAGGGTCCCTAAGAGTATTTTTACCAGCTTATTTAAATTTTATTCTAAAATATCATTAAAAAATTCATTTCTTATTTTAGAAATCACTTTTTTTTTTATCTACTTTTTCTAACAAGCTCTCTATTTTTTTCCTTATTCTATTAATAAACTCTTTATTTTTTTTGCTCTATTCTATTAAAATATAATTTTTAATTATAAATTTAAAAAAAAATAAAAATCATAAATGTATATTGCAGTCCCTAAACAAAGCAAAGTGCAAAAAAAAAAAAAAAGACAAAAAAAAATATATGTAAAGGAGTCAATAGGGAGCCACAGTAGCAATTTTTAGGAAAATGTTTAAGTAAGAGGTCTACTAACATCTACAACATCATAATTGAATCACTACAGATGATGGGTATTTACTCATATCATGATTCCTGGTCAATCTTTTACCATTTCAGGAGTAGAGGTTATAATGCCTGGGAGAAGATGGCTTGAAATGAGAGGGCTGGTGTGAGACAAGCAAGGAAGAGCACTGAAATGGTTTGTATCTTCTCCACTGTTCATTTAATTGTCCTCTCTTTTGTCCTAACTCTTCCATAAATGTACTCCACAAACAATGTGGAAACCATATAATTCAATTGTCCTAGTTGAAGAAATAAGGTATATAATGCACGTCTGTCTGAACCCAAGTTACCATTGAGATAGGAGTTAGCAGTTCCAGAAACTGTTGGAAGCGAATGAACAACCAATTTGTCATGTTCAAACACCAAGTTGAACTTTGGGATCCCTATTCTCGGTTTGTCAGGTTTACCACAGCCTCTTATCGGGCAATCTAGGCCATAATATCTTGATGAAACTTTGAATGCTCAGAGAGGGGAAACGGAAAAAGAGGCAGCCAGTATAAGGGGGCTAGCTTGCTTCCACTTCCTGTGTTCTGTGGTCGATGGAAGAACTTTGATTAATTTCTGTTTCCATTTACACACTAGTAAGAGGCCTTTTTTGTTTGTTTGTTTGTTATTGCTATATGGCTTTCCAGTAAAAGATGCAGCAGAAACCAAAATCCCACATGATTAATCACAAGGTGGCTGGTGGGAAAGTTCCGTTTACATTATGTTGTACACATTGGTGTCCTGAAGGTGTAATGGTCTACAGTCTACATGGTGAAGGCCAAGTGATTTGCCTTGTTTGAAGCCATTAAGTGCGTTCAAGTACTAAACAAGGATATTTGTATACTTGCAAAGAAAAGAACTACTCTGATGAAATATAAGCCATAAGTAGACAGTTAAACAATATTGTATGAAAAAGATCAGAGCAGAACACATATACCTGGCAAAGTAAAACTTGAAATGGCAAAGCACTACCGTACTACTGGCTGTTGTGTTTTCCATTTCAGATTACATTGTTCGACATCTAATATAAATTTCTAGGCCAATAGAACTTTATGTTTGTTCATTCATGAACATAGAGGTTGATCTTGAATGCAGCAAATAGAGCTTTGTCTTTGTTCATTCATGAGCATAGGTTGGTCTTTTTATAACTTTCCATCATCTTTGTGAACCAGTATTCAAGCCTCCTATCATGGTCTTTCCCTCTCTTGGGTTAAACTCTAATTGCAAATTGCAATGTAACCCAAATTTGAAGGGAGACAAGGGAAAGCATAATTTTTAGGAAGAAAACCAAAATTTGAAGTGAAAGCATCTGCAGTGTTGAAGCCTTTAAGCCAGTTTGCTAAGTCTTTACTTCCGGCAAACTATCCATCACTTTGAGCAGGAAAATTTGTAGAACAAGGGCTTCCCGTACATAATCTCAATGGAAATAAAAGAGAGTTTTGACAACACATTATCTAAGAAAGCATGCACGATTACACTTTGCTAACAGTATTTCCAGATTCCTGCTATGATATGAGTTATGAATTAATCAGGTTGAATATGATGTTTCATCTTTCAACTGCCTGGCAATTTGAATCATTTGGTCCTTTCATTGAGACATTGAGTGCCCTAATATTAATTTTTTGATATTTTCTGGGTGTCTTGAGCATAAAATAGCTCTTAATTTGTTGAATTAGTTTTGTAATTTTAATGATTTATGTAACCTGATAGCACACAAATGAATGGAAAATGTAAATAGAAAAGTTACCTGTTGGTTCATGGACTTGGAAGATGATTTCTCTAGTCATCTTTTTAAATGAATTTTAGAGTGGTAAAAGATAAAAAAATGTAGACAGTAGACGAGGCTGGGAATTTTTTTCCCTGACACTTTTTCAGCTGATTGAATAATTATACCTTTCCATATTATGATCATGCTTATGTGCATATCTGAATACATAGAATAACTTCACATTGTTGAGCCATTTTGATTGTTAACTTCCAGCAGTGTTCTTGGTGAAACTGTGAATAAGCATGATCTGTTTTATCCAAAACAAGTAGATAAATAGCTTTATGAACACTGTGTTTATCTTTGAAAGGTTAAATTACACTAATCTCTCTTGAGATTTCAGACAATTATAAAGACTTTTCTTGAAATTTTAATAATTATACAAATCTCGCTTATTTTTGAAACTTTTATGAAGATTCTCCTATTGTTAGACTATTTAACAGAATTTGCTGATACCAGGTTAATGTCATAGGTTATAATACTTAAAATGGCAAAATTACCCATTAGTTACCTTATCTATACAAATGAGAAATTTCACTCATTTCTCTTGAGATTTTAATTTTTTTTTTATTAAAGACTCATGCATACTTTAGAATTATTTAATAAAATCATTAAATTTCATGCAATATTAAATAAAACTCTTAAATTGTTAAGATATTATTAAATCATATTATGGAAAAAAAAAACTTAATTTTTATTGATTAAATACTTAAAAATAAACAATCTTTCTAAAATTAATGTTAGATAACATCTTACTAATTTAATATAAGGCTTATTCCTCACTACATAAACAACATAGAATTTATCGTTTCAAGTAATGCATTTATTATTTGATTTTTTTTAAAAGTTGAAATAAATGAATTTATTTTTTCCGGACAATTTGCATTACTTACTTGTATGCAAAAAAAATTATTATTTTATCTTTTCTCAATCATATATTATTCTCAAACTTTAATTTTTATTTTTGAGTTATTAAACTTCTAATCGATGCATATTTAAAAAAACACAAATTAATATTTGATACATTATTAAAAAATAAATATAAAATTAAAAAAATCTAATCACTTCACAATAAATTAAATGCTTTGTCAACATCAGCAATTAAGGATCTCTCCTCCTCGTAGGTGCAAGCAATAGAAGGAATATCATTCCAATCAGTAAAGGAAGAGTTCTTCCCTTAATGATATATCGAAGTATCTAATTTTTTTCATTCAAGGTTATGGAAGTTTAGTAAAGTCTTCTGTCAAGGTAGCTTTAGTTTATAGGGAATGAATGATTAAGAAATCATTTGAAAATAACAAATAATTTATTATTTCTTACATCTTAAATTAAAATTAATCTTTATTTGAATGGAAAAATTATTTGAAAATAATAAAATACTCAATTAATTTGTTATGTATGATACTTAAAATCTCTTTCTCCATCTTTATTTATCTCATTTAAACTATTTTTATTAAATTAAATATTAAAATTAATTTCTCACCTTTATTAATGTTTGAATTCTGATTTTATTTTTTGTTTATAAAAGTTTAAAAACTTGTTGTGGGAAAAAAAATAGAGTCAAGAAATTACATTTATATTTTAAAAAGTTATGAAAAATAAATAATAATTTCATATATAATTAATAGGATTAAATTTAGTGCATTTAAGGTTAAAATTAAGGAGAATTTTTTTTAAGGTCCCCTGATATTAAGATTTTATAAGATAAATGACATGACTCAGAGAAATTTTGCCTAACTCAGAGAAATTTCGCTCCGATTTAGAGAAATTTTAATTTTCACAGAGAAATTTCTTTGATTTCACAGAAAAATTTTGAAATTTATTTGTGATCATACCAGAGAAATTTTGAAATTTTCTAAGTTGAGGTTGAAATTTCTCTAAGTCGGATGAATTTATCTGAGTTGGGCAAAATTTCTCCGAGTTAAATTTTATTTGTGAAAATGTTAAGGGACCTTAGTTAATAATAATAATAAAAAAATTCTTGGACCTCTCCTACTACACAAAATTGGAGAGAGATGTTTCATTAATTTTCCCTAAAATTAATGTTGATAATGAATGAGTTTGGTTTAATCGTCAGAAATCTAAACAGAGGTAAGATTTTTTTTACTTCTATATTTATTTTTTATTTTTGTAATAATTTAAGAAATATTAACTTGCGTTTTTTTTTATATGTATCGACTAAAAATTAAAATTAAAATTAAAATTTGAGAATAATATATGATTGAGAAAAGATAAAATAATAATTTTTTTACATATGAATAATGTAAATTGCTAGAAAAAAAAAATCATCTATTTCAACTATAAAAGAAAATTAAAATAATAAATGCATTACTTAAAATGATAAATTTTACGTTGTTTATCTAGTGTGAAATAAGTCTTATATTAAATTATTAGGATGTTATCTAACATTAATTATGGAGAATTTTCTATTTTTAAGTATTTTATCAATGAAAATTAATTTTTTTCCTATTAGATGTTTTAATGATGTCTTAACAATTGAAGGGTTTTATAATATTGCATGAAATTTAAGAATTGTAATAAATAATACTAAAATATATTTGGATTTTCATAATATATATGCAAAACCTTAGGAGAGGTAGGCGTAATTTACTCATGTTGATAATGAATGAGTTGGTTTATGAGTATTTTTGTCTTTTTATGTGCAAATCAAAGGGTAATATGGTTATTTTCACACTCAACTAACATTGCTTGTACGAATTTAACAGATTGAGAGAATTATAATAGTAGTTTCAAAAGTAAGGGATGTTAGTGTAATTATTGAAATTACATGAAAAGTTTCTATAATTATTAGAAATCTCAGGGGAGTAAGTGTAATTTATCCTTATTTAAATGTTTATAAAAATTGATTTCCATCCACGGCCACATCTTTGCCTTGCCCAAATTTCAGTTCTAAAATGAGTAAAATTAGCCATGAACTTGTGTGCATGTGTCAGTCCAATCTGATTTAGCCAGACTTTTATCCCCAAAACATGAAAAATTATAGTTTACTCAAGGGATAAATCTAAATGAACATGTATTTTATTGGCTAAAATAGTGAGTTCTACTATTTTTTATCTCCTATAAGGAGACAATATGACAAATGTCATAATTTGTGTGGTGTCGAGTAACACGACGTCTAGACCTCACCAAATAACTTTTTCCGAAACATAGCTCTGGTAAATATAAATGCGCCACATTACATCACTTACATTTATTGTTAGAGCCCAAAATGGTCACAAAATTTGACTCAGCAAACTGTTTTGTTTGCATGCTAATTGTGTTATCATCACCTTCTCTTGGTACAGATCAGCTCAAATGGCAGAGTCAGCATGAAATTAACATGAGTAACTGTGAAAAAGGGTTAGGACACAAGCACAAATTGGCATGATCTTCATCTCCTGCATATATAAACCATTATAAGGTCCATTCCTAAGCAACAAGCCTTCTTGAGAGTGGGATATCGAGAATTTTATTCAAAAAATGAAGCTTTTTCGCACTAGGGCAATGTCGGTGCTGTTGTTTGTGGTGGTAATGGTAGGTTTGGTGGAGCAAGGGAAGGGCCAGAATTGTGGTAGCACTTTCTTTTCGGCGCTTGTTCAGCTAATACCTTGCAGGGCAGCGGTTGCACCGTTTAGCCCCATTCCACCAAGTGAGGCATGCTGTACTGCCATCAAATCTCTCGGCCAGCCTTGTTTGTGTGTCCTTATCAATGGCCCTCCAATCACTGGCGTTGATCGCAACATGGCATTGCAGCTCCCAGAGAAGTGCGTTGCTAACTTCGAACCATGTAAATCTCTCTCTCTCTCTGGATTGTTTGAGATGTTCCAAAATGGCCATCTTTTTGGTCAAATAAGCCAAAAAAATGAAGAAAAATCTATTTGTCATCAATTAAAAAAAAGGGAAAACTATGCAATTTCTCAAAACTATCAATTTTTTTATAATATATGAAAAAAAGTTGAAAAAGGCAATCAAGCCAAAAAAGTCACTAAGAAAAGCCAACCCAAAAAGGTATGGACTGCCAAAAGTTAGTAGATTAGGTTTTATCTCCATTTATACCGAAGTTGATCAATATAGTTTGAAAATAGATCCTGTTGCAAGTAGTTCATATCTTCAAGAAACATTCATGAATAAAAGACATCAGTATTGCCATTAAACCATGCCAAATTCCTATGATTCTGATCTCAAGCAAGAGTCTAAAAGTATGACTTTTATTTTTATTTTTCCATGCAGGTGGTATTGGGAAGTAAAAGTACAGGAAGAACAGATCATCCCGGGAAATACTTGCGAATAAAAAGTGTACTAAGAGATGTAGGAAGCCTTTCATGTTATGTACTGCCTCCGTGCTGCTAATAATTATTAGTAGGAAATGTTGAAACTAAAATGTGCCAAATCCTTTAGATTTGGGGCTTTTGATATTTGAGTTGTTCTTGCTTTGTCTTTATTTTTATGTTCTCCTCATGATACGCTAAAATTGATTCCATTATACCAAAATAAAATAAAATAATAATAAATTAAATAAATTTTCATAATTATATTTGTGTAGAAGTGATAGAAAGACACATGCACTGATTCATTATTGAGCACATCTTTGTCAATTTTTGTTAAGTGTTGGTGCAAGTACTTCCCTACTCTTATTTCCAAAGTAGAGAAAAAAAAAAAAAATGTAAAGAAGGAAAAAAATGCATGCCCCTTCCAAAGGCACTATGAGAGGTGTTTGTTTATTCTTTAAGCGGGTCTCTAGATCTTATTTTAACAGAATTCTCATGAATTTAATTCTCTTTTTTAAATGTCACCATTTGCAAACAAAATTTCAAGAAATTCCAACTGAAATTCAAGAAAGCTATAAAGATAGATAGTTGAAATTCAAGAATTAATAAAGCAGAGTAAACTAACAAGGAGCCATTTTAGACACCGCATCAGACATTCTTATTTGAGAAAATTATAAAAAAAGATTTAGCTCGTCTCCAGTTGAAAGTTGAAGTGGACTAGACAGTTGAGATCTCTGACCGGTAAGAGTTATTAAACGAAAGACTCTTATTGGTAAGAATTTTTGAAAACATGGCCTAGTTGAATTTTTCCAAAGATTCTGACCGGTAAGAGTCGTCTGTTTAATGACTCTTATCGGTCAAAAACCTTAACTGTTTGGCCCAATTGAAATTTCAACTAGAGACAAGTTATTCCCTATAAAAAAACTCTTAGGATTTGACTTTTGTAACTGTTGGGGGGAGTGGAGTGTAAGCTGATCTTGAGATTTGCAAGGAAATAATTTCACCTCTTTATGTTTCACATGCTCTCGAATGAAATGATTGCGGGTGTCAATATGCTTACTTCTTTCATGATAAACTAGGTTATTTGCCAATGCAATTGCTGAGCGATTATCAACATAGATCTCAGTGGGTTTTTCTTGTGGAAATTCCAAATGCTTTAGTATGTTCCGTAACCATATTGCATGGCACACAGCTGAGTTGGCTGCAACATACTTAGCTTCGCAAGTCGATAATGTCACAATTGCTTGCTTCTTGGACCACTATGTGAAGGTTGTATCTTCCATAAAGAAAGTAAATCCTGTAGTACTTTTCCATTCATCCAAGTCACGTCTCCAGTTGCTATCTGAGTGCCAACAAGACTGAAATTATCAGTTGGTTTATAGAATAAACCATTATCGAATGTACCTTTGATGTAGTGAAGAATCCTCTTTGCTGCATAAAGGTGTGACTGATTCGGTGTTTCCATATATCTGCTAATCAGTTCTACTCCATAGAGTATGTCTGGCCTGGGCAAGTAAGATAACGAAGACTTCCAACTAGGCTTTTGAAATAAGTTGGATCCACATCACCTGCCTTTGTACCTTTTTTGAGCTCCACTCCACTGTCTACAGGAGTGTTCACTGGATTGCAATTTTTCATTACATATCTCTTGAGAATTTCCTTGGCATAGTCACTTTGGGAAATAAAAATTTCATCTTTTCTTTGTGCCACTTCAATGCCGAGAAAATGAGCCATCAATCCTATATCTGTCATTTCAAATTCTTAGACCATGCTTCTTTTAAAGTCAACATGGCTGGATTATTTCCGGTGAAAATTAGATCATCAACATAAAGACAAGCAAGCAAGCAAGCAACATGCTTCCATCAGCTTCCTTCTTCAAATATAGTGCGTGCTCATATGGACATTTTTCAAGATCATTGTCATGAAAATACTGATCAATTCTAGTATTCCATACACGTGAAGCTTGCTTTATTCCATAAAGTGCTTTCTTCAATTTGTACACTTTGTCTTCATGCCCATTCTGAACATACCCCGAAGGTTGTTCAATATAGATTTCTTCTTCAAGGAAACCATTAAGAAATGTAGATTTCATATCAAGTTGATAAATTTGCCACTTGTGCTGGGCAGCCAAAGAAATCATTAGCTTGATAGTCTCCAACCGAGCAACTGGAGCAAACACCTCTCCATAATCAATTCCAGCTCTCTGCTTGTAAACTTTTGCTACTAACCTTGCCTTATAGCGTTGCATTTCGCCTTGTGCATGCCTCTTTGTCTTGTATACCCATTTCACTCCAATGGGTTTGTGCCTCTCTGGTAGACTGTAAGTTTCAATTTGTCATTTTTCTCAATGGCATGAATTCTTCATCCATTGCTTTCTTCCATTTATTTTCTTGGATGGCTTCTGAGAAAGAAAGTGGATCACTATCTGCAAGTAGGCAGAACAAATTCAGATCTGCTTCTTTTGTAGCTTCATATATCTCTTGCAAATTTCTCATTGGTCTTGGTTATTTGAAAAAACTATCATTTGATGCTGCTGTTGCTGATGATGATGATGCAGCACTTCTGTGAGAAACTGGCGATCTAGGTGCCGGTATTCTATGTGGAGGAGTTTGTGGCTCATCTTCTCTTGTGATTCCAACCAGAGCTTTTGATGTTTCATCTTCAAGAATGAGTTCTGTATCTTTAACAACTTCATCTTGATTCCAGTTCCAAGCTTTTTCTTCTTCAAATATCACATCTCTACTCATGATCACCTTTCTGGTAATGGGATTATATAACTTGTATCCCATTGTTCTGTCTCCATATCCGACAAGGATACATTTTTCTCCCTTATCATCGAGCTTGGTTTTTCTTGCTTCTGGAATCTTGGTGTACGTAACACATCCAAATATTCTGAGATGGTTGACACTTGACTTATGTGAACTCCAAGCTTCTTCTGGAGTCATAGAGTGAAGGCTCCTGGTTGGACATCTGTTCAACAGAAACATATCACATGATATGGCTTCAGCCCAAAATTGCTTGGGCAGTCCCTTTCCTTTCAACATGTTCCTTGCCATATCTAAGATTATGCGATTCTTCATTTCAGCAATACCATTCAGCTGTGGCGTATAGGATGGTGTTGTTTGATACTTGATTCCATGCTCTTTGCAATAATTCTCGAAAGCATCTAATGTATACTCTCCACCTTGATCTGATCGCAATGTCTTGATGTAGTAGTCGCTTTGCTTCTCTACAAAATTTTTGAATTCTTTGAAGATACTGAACACCTCCGACTTCTTTTAAGAAAATACACCCATGTCTTCCGGCTATAATCATCAATGAAGGTGAGAAAATATCTATTCTATCCATTTGACATTGGCTTCAATGAACCACACACATCAGTGTGCACTAGCTTCAGCGGCTTTGTTGCTCTCCACTTCACTTCTTTGGCAAAGCTAGTTCTGTGATGTTTGCCAAGAATGCAGCTTTCACAGACCTCATTAGTATGAGCAATATGAGGGAGCCCTTTCACTATATTCTTGCTTGACAACAACTTCAAGCTTCCAAAGTTGAGATGTCCAAACCTCAAATGCCATAGCTAGTTTTTGTCTTTGATGATGGCACTTAAACACTTCGCAGCATCATGTTGGATGTTCAATGCAAACATCCGATTCTTGGACATTCTCACTCGAGCGATCAAATTACCACAATTGTCTTTGATGGTAAGATGACAATCTTTCATGCTGATGTCGTATCCTTTCTCTAGGAGTTGTCCCATACTCAAAATGTTGTTCTTCATGGTAGGAACATAATAAACATTGGAGATGTAAGCATGATCTCCATTCTTGAACTTGATCAGAATATTGCCTCTTCCTTTCACTGGAGTCTTTAAAGAATCACCAAATGAGACTTGTGCTTGTACAGTCTCGTCAAGCTCAACGAACAACTCTCTTTTACCACACATGTGATTACTGGCTCTCGAATCTAGATACCAAACATTGTTTTGGTTTTCAGTGTCTCCATGGTGGACAAACAAGACTGTAGGTCCAACTTTGTTTGTTTCCTGCTCAGCAAAATTTGCTTGTTCTCCGACTTCTGTTGTTGCTCTACTTCGGCATTCATTGCTGTAATGCCCGAACTTGTGGCACTGGTAGCACTAAACATTGCTTTTGTCAACTCCTGTTCAGTTGTTGTAACTACCTCCTCTACCTCTTGCTCTTTCTCTTGGAGCAAAGTGTGGTTGACTTCTTCCTCCTCTGGCTGGACCTCTTCTGTCTCTTCCTCGAAAACCAGAACTTCGGTTATTATAACCATAACCTCTTCCTCGGCTTCTTTGTGATGTCTCCCCTTGCTCGTTTTTGTCATCTCTGAAAGACAGCTTTGATTGAAGAGCTTGCTCTAGGGAACTTGTGGGAGTCTTCTTGTTGATCCTTTGTTCATGAATCTCAAGTGTGCCCATCAACTCATCGGTGGTCATGGAACTGAGATCCTTGGACTCTTCTATTGCTATAACCACGTGCTCGAACTTGGGACTGAGTGATCGGAGAATCTTCTCTATCACTTGAAGAGATTCCATATTCTCTCCATATCTTCTCATCTAATTAACAATGGTCAATGTTTTGTTGAAGTACTCAAAAATTGACTCATTATTATTTATGTGCAACATCTCGAATTTGCCACGTAACACCTGAAGTTGAACTATGATCGTCTTCTCAATTCCACGGTGTGAGTTGCGAAGAATACTCCATGCCTCTTTAGAGGTTGCTGTTGTTAAAATCTTCTCAAAGCTTGACTCATCAATGCCTTGATAGAGTAGATACAAGGCCTTTTTATCTCTCTTCCTTGAATCTTTTAACGCCGTCTTCTGAGCTTCATCTAAATTTCCTTCATCTTTGAGAGTAGCTGGCTCGTCATATCCTCGATCCACTAACTCCCACAAATCTTGTAAGGCTAGTAGGACTTGCATTTGAATACTCAAATTTTCATAGTTCTCCTTGTTGAGTTTTGGAAACTGAGGCTAAAAGAAGTTGTTTGTGTTGGCCAT